AGGGCGGCGACACGTTCCCGCTGCGGACCTACGTGGACCCGCTCTTCGACCTGACCTTCCCCAAGGACTTCTTCGCCATCCGGCGGACGATCGACGGCGACATCGTCCGCCGCGGCGGCGTCATCTTCACGGCGGGCCAGCTGAAGACCGCGGAGATCGTCACCGTCGAGCTCTTCAAGGTCAAGGAGCTCCTCGTCCAGGCCGAGGCGCTGCCCTACTTCCCCGACGGCACGATCAAGAAGTGGAGCGACCTCGGCAACGACAAGGCGCTCGCCGAGTTCATCTGCGAGCGGCGCGACAAGGAGGACAAGAGCGCGGCCAAGGGCCAGGTCGCCAAGGCCCGCGCGTCCCAGGTCGTGCCCGGCACGCTCTCCGTGTCGGGCAACACGCTCCAGGCCGACGTGCTCACGACGATCGGCGCGACGGACGCGCGGACGGGCGAGGCCGGCACGCTCGTGAAGACGCCGGGCATCCGGCGCGTGCAGCGCACGCGCCTCACGCTGCTCCCGGGCGGCGCGGAGATCATGGGCGTCTGGGCAGGTTGCCTCGACGACTACTGGGAGCAGGGCGAGGACGAGGTCCTCAAGAACGTCGTCGCGTCCTTCGCCATCAAGGCGCCCCAGGGCGGCGGGTCCGTGCTCGGGTCGTAATTGGAGGTTTCTATCGCACGGTCTCCGATCGTACAGGACAGTAGCGGCGAAGTTTTAGAGATGCGACGTGTCGAACGCGGGCACGCCTTCGAGCGCCGCGTCCGCGCTCGAGGCGCAGCTGTCCGCGGCGTACTCGGCGGCGCAGGTCCACATGTAGTCCGCGTCGTCGACCCAGGGCACGACGAAGGCCTCGTGCGCGTCGAAGACGTCGTAGGCCACGGGCGTGTCGTAGGAGCAGAACGCGTCCGTCGCGCGGTTCGCGACGTAGGCCGTCCAGGCCGCCATGAGCTCGTCGAGGATGGGGTCATTTGCCGCCGGCGTGACGATGACGGACTCGTCGGCGTGCGACGTCAAGTTGACGTAGTTCTTCGCGTAGACGAGGGACGACGTCGGGTAGTCCTCGCGCGGGTCGGGCGTCGTCGGGTCCGCGTAGTTGTAGTCGAAGGACGCGTTGACCAATAATTTAAAACGGCTCCCGCCGATCTCCTTGACGAAGGACCCGGACGCGACGCCGCACGCGTAGCCGAACTCGGTCAGCACGTCGGACCGCGGCGCCGCGGTCGCTTCGCCCGCGAGCGCGGCCCACTGGTCGACGCCGTCGGCGCCCGCCGGCACGAGGTCGCCGCGGCCGAGGACGCCGGCGAGGATCGTCGGCACCCAGTCCGTGACGTGCACCAGCCCCATGTACGTCGTGCCCTTGGCGCTCTCCGGCAAGCCCTTCGCCCAGTGCACGAAGGACGGCAGCCGCACGGCGCCCTCCCAGGGTGTCATCTTCTCGCCGCGGAGCGGGAAGTTGGACCCGCCCGCCCCCGTGTGCATCGCCGACGACACCTGGGCGCCGTTGTCGCTCGAAAAGATCACCAAAACGTCGTCGAGGCCGCGGTCCTCGAACGCGCCGAGGATCTTGTCCACGGCCGCGTCGAGCGCGTAGAGCGCCGCGCCCGTGATGGCCCGGAGCTCGTTCGTCACGGCGGCCAGCGCGCCGCCGTCCTCGCGGAGCTTCGCGAGCGTCGCCGGCTCGCACTCGGTGGGCGCGTGCAGCGCCGTCGGCGCAAAGTACAGGAAGAGCGGCCCCGCGGGATCGCCCGACGCGTAGCCGTCGACGACCTCCACGGCCTTGCGGCCGAACAGGGTCGTCGAATACTCGCCGTGGCTCGCGTAGTTCCTCGTCTTGTAGCCCCGGATTTCTCTTTTCCCCGTCGTCGCGTTGCGGCGATGGCTGTCGTGCATGTCGTGGAAGCACTCCGGCGACGTGCACGTGTCGACGTCGGCGATGTAGCTAAAGTAGGACACGTAGGGCGAGTAGTAGCCGAAGTGCGTGTCGAAGCCGCGCTGCGTCGGGAGGAACGCCTCGTTGAAGTGGCCGACGTCCCACTTGCCGACCATGTGGCTACTGTAGTTGCCGGCTTCCGCGAGGAACTGGGGCAGGATGTCGAAAGTCAGGGGCAGGCCCCAGGGCGTCGTCGCCTCGACGCCGTTCGTGTAGGCGCCCGTCGACGCCGGATAGAATCCCGACAAAAGAGCGGTGCGCGACGGCGTGCACGACTTCTGCGCGTAGAACGAGCCCAATTTGACGCCCCGCGCCGCGAGCGAGTCGAGCGTCGGGCTCGCGAAGGCGAGATCCGTCGACTGGTAGCCGATGTCGTTGTAGCCCATGTCGTCGGCGAGGACGTAGAGGATGTGGGGCATCGACGACCCGGAGGCCGCGGCACCGGCGGGAGCAGTCGCGATCGCGTCGAAGTCGGCGCGCGTCGCGAGCGGGTGGAGCCGCAGCGCGGCGACGAGCAGGCTGGCAATGACCAGGCCCAGCGTCGCGACGCCGGCGGGCCAGCGTCGGGGCTGCGTGCGTGTTGCCACGAGCTCTTCTGGAGCGGGAGGCGCCATTTCTTTGGCTGCTGGCGGATCGACAGGTGGAACAAGCAGACGTGGTGGCTCAATGCGGCGCCTCCATCGCACTGTAATCACGGCACCGTGGCAGCCCGATCCGGTGCAGCTTTGGCGCGGCCGCGCCGCTGCTCGAGCTTGGTTGCCGTCCAGATTGTGTGGGGTGGTGAGTCGCTCTCGCATGGCGAGACGACGACAGATGATCGGCGTCGCGCTGGCGGCGACGGCGTCGGCGTTCGCCACGACGCAGCCGCGCCGGGCGCTTGCGGCGCCGCCCCGGCGGCGCGCGGGCGCGCGCGTTTTTACGGCGACGTCGCCGGAGCCGTCGCCGGAGCCGCTGGACGTGCGCGGCGGCGGCGGCGACGTCGCCGCGCCGGCGCGCACGATCCGGGGCGTGCCCGTGAGCGTGCTCGCCGTGCTCGCGGGCGCGTTCCTCAACCTGCTGGGCTTCACGATGGCGGGACCGATCACGCCGGCGCTCGCGGAGCACTTCCAGCTGCCCGTCGGGTCCAAGGTCGGCGCGCTGACGTCGGCCTACCCCGTGGGCATGCTCGTGGGCCTCCTCGTCTGGCCGCAGATCTCGGACCGCGAGGGCTGGCGGAAGAAGATCATCGTCGGCAGCCTCTTCGGCGTCGGCGTCGGGCTCTTTTTCCAGGCCTTGGCGCTGCACCTCAAGGCGCCGTATTGGGTCTTTTTAGGGCTCCGGGTGCTGAGCGGCCTGTCCGCCGGCGCGTCGCCCGTGTCCAAGGCCTACCTGGCCGACGCGGCGACGGACGAGCAGCTGCCGCGATGGCTCGCGTGGCGCGAGGCGTCCTCCACGTTGGCGTTCATCGTCGGCCCCCTCTTCGGCGGCCTGCTCTTCTTCTCGTCGTCGTCGCTCGCGACGGTCGTCGGCGTCACGTCCGCCGGTTCGCTATTAGCGGCGGCCATCACCGCGGCCTTTGTGGAGGAGCCGAAAACGTCCCTATCCCCGGCGTCGCCGCCGCCGAAGCTCCTCGACGCGGGGAAGATGCCGACGTCCTGCCCCCTGGGCCGCAACCTCGCCGCCGCCGTGGCGACGATCTGCGCCATGTCGGCGCTGGAGAACGCGGGCTCGGCCTGCTGGGACGCCTTCGGGGCCGTGCTCGCGCAGCAGCGCTTCGGCCTCGACGCGCGCGGCGTCGGCTTGATGCTCACGTCGGGCGCGTGCATCAGCTTCGCCGTGTCGACGACGTGCTTCGACCGCGTGCGGAGCCGCGTGGGCCTCGTGAACACGGCCGTCATCGGGCTCGCGCTCATCGCCGCGGGTTTAGGGACCGTGGGCGCGGCGACGGGAAGTTTGCCCAAGTTCGTCGCCGCGGCCGCGCTCTACCAGCTCGGCAAGCCGCTCTACGCGCCGACGGTGCCCACGCTCCTCCTCCAGTGCGTGCCGCCCTCAAAACGGGGGTTGGCCATGGGCGTCGACTCCATCGTGAACACGGTCGCGCGCGCGGCCGCGCCCCTGTTGCTCGGCGGCCTGCTCAAGAGCCGGGGCGCCGCGGCCGCCTTCGCCGTCGCCTCGACGCTCGTCGCCTCCGCCGCGGGCCTCGCGCTCCTCCGCGCGGACCGCAGCGCGAAGCGCGCCTAGAGGTCCACTCGCCCACGTCTAACACGCTCGCCGCATCACAATTTAAGCTTGAACACACGTGTGCGCATCACTTATGCTTGGACACGTACGCATCACTTAAGCTTGAACACGTGCGCGTAGGCCACGGGCGTGAACTCGAGGCTTCTCGCGGCGAAGAAGCCGCAGCGCGCGAGGTAGGCGCCGACGATCTTCGCGCCGAAGTCGTTGAGCAGGTGCTGGCGCGACAGGGGCGACCCGGCGAGGACCTTGAGCCCCCAGTAGTTGGCGGGCGCGACGAACTCGCAGCGGAGCGCGCTCCCGACGAGCGTCGCGGACGCGTCCACGGAAAAGCCGAGCACGGCGATCAGGACGCAGAGCTTGTTCACGTTCGCCGCGAGCTCCGCCGGGCTCATGGGCTGGGGCGCCGCGACGCCCGTGGTCGGGGGAAGGTTGGAGAACTTGGCGAGGACAAAATCGAGCGCCGCGTCGCCGACGCGCCTCGAGTGCTCGTCCGCGAGCTTCGCGTTCTCCACGGACGTCGCGTTGCGGATGACGACCGTCGTGTCGCCCTCGGCCGTCACCAGCTCCTCAAAGGCCTGCTTCGGCGCGCGGAGGAACTCGTTGATGACCTTGTACTGCGCGAAGCTGATGAAGTCGAAGTACAAGGGATCCGTCAGTTCGCCCTGGTTCGGCGGCCGCCCGAGCTGCTGCCGCGCCTTGCTGTAGTAGGGCTCCCACTCGTCCTGGCGCGCGAGGAAGAAGCGCTTCTGGAACGCGTCCATTGCCACGAAGTCGAGGCCGTCGACGACGTTGTAGGAATTGCGCATCAAACACACCGCGAAGTCCTGCTGCAGCTCCGCGCGGACGAACTTGGGGATCGGCGGCCGCTTGTTGATTTCCACGGTCAGCAGCGGGTTGCCCTCGACGCCGTCGATGTTCAGGAGGCCCGTCTTCGACGCGGCGTTCGACGTCTGGGCGATGGTGGCCGCGGTGACGGCCGACGTGCCGAGGAAGGCGCGGCGCGGATACGTGGGCTTCAGGGCCGAGGCGACGGCCGCGAGAAGGAGACACGCGCGAGCGCTGCGGCTGCTGCGCATGCTGCTGCGTGTGACGGCCATCAGCATCATCATTGACATTGCGGCATCATCACATCATCATCGAAGCCGGGTCGAGAGTGCACCCAAACGCGATGCTGCGCCTCTCGCTGGCGCGTCTCCTCCGCCCGGCCGGCGCCCGCGCCGCGCCCGTGCGCTTGTTTTCGACACCGGAAGCAAACACGCACGTCCCCACGGTGCGCGTCATCGCGCGGGACGACTTGGGCCGCGCCTACGGCACGGGCCGGCGCAAGACGTCGTCGGCGCGCGTCTGGGTGCTGCCCGGCGACGGCACGGTGACGATCAACGGGAAGAACCTGCTGGACTACTTCGCGCGGCGGACCCACGTCGACGAGGTCGTCGCGCCCTTCGCGGTCACGCGGACCGCGTGCAACTTCGACGTCAAAGCGACGGTCAAGGGCGGCGGCCTCAGCGGCCAGGCGGGCGCCGTGCGCCACGGCATCGCCCGGGCGCTCCAGAACTACGACCCGGCCTACCGCCCGGCGCTCAAGTCCGCGGGCTTCATCACGCGCGACCCCCGCATGGTCGAGCGCAAGAAGCCGGGCCGGAAGAAGGCGCGGAAGGCGTTCCAGTGGGTGAAGCGCTAGCTAGGGATTTTCTTAGAGTATCGCCCCGGCGTTGACGAACGCGTACTCGACGCAGTCCGGCGCGAACTGGATGTTCGGCTCCTTGGAGAAGGGCACCATGAGCGGCGCGACGTCCGCCCAGAGCGCGGCCATGCGCGCGACGCGGTCCGCGTTGGCGACGGCCTCGCCGCCCAACAGGAAGTGGACCTCGAGGTTCAGGTGGAGCACGTGTTTGAGCGCGGCCTGCGTCGCCGGCTCGCGGAAGACGTCGAACTCGCAGCCCTCGCAGTCGATTTTCGCCAAGGAGACGGCGCCGAGGCCCGCGTCGCGCGCCAAAGTTTTCACCATGTGGCCCAGCGTCACGAAGGTGCCCGACGCGTCGGGGCGGGGCGCCAGGCCGTGTTTGAAGAACTTGATCTTGGACCGGTCGAG